TTTGTATATGTTTGCAGGTGTAGAAATCCGATTGTTGGCCGGGAAGACATTTTTTTTGGTTATTGCTACATGTTTATGGCGGATTTGACATCGGAAATACGACGGAAACGACGATACAACGAATCGGTGCAATGATGCCGGCATTTTTTTTCCGTCGAAAATGCTGGCGGAAAATGCGCCGAAAACTAGTTGTAGCTTTAGTTACGACGTACCTTACGACATCTTATCTGCCGGCGTTTCCGGCTCATAAATTGCGCCGGAAACAAGTCGTAGCTTTAGTTACGGCGAACCCACTGCGCTTTATCCGCCGGTATTTCCGGCGGATATGTACATCGTAAATTCCGGCGTATATAACGCCAGAATAATCTATTAAGAAACGACGTTTTGGCTAACACATTTTGCATCGATAATGCGTAGGAGAGTGCGAACTTTCCGGCGTCTTATAAATGTCGGAAGACATTTTTCATCGTGCACCAAACCGGCGTACCAAATTCCGACGGAAATGCGCCGGAAACCAAGGTTTTCCGTTGGATTTACGTATTACCGGCGGATATGTTCTGCCGGTAATACCGGGTTTTCCTGTAGTGTGCTCTACGGGCTCCTTTCCCTTACGTGCAGTGCAATCACTGCTAGTGAGCTATTGCCCAATGAAATACACCAGCAATATATAAAAAATAATAATAAACAAAGAAATGCTTAACAATGCTAACATAGTCAAAACACATATTGAAATATCATATTGAGCTTGAAAGTGCCTAGCAGTATTATTTATCTTGCCAAAATTATTTCACATTTTTAAATAAGTTATATAATAGCTATAAGCTTTTGCATCATTTCAACTTTCCAATTCAAGGTTGGGTCTAACTTCCCAATTTTTTAGAATGGAAGGTGTTCTCTCATTCAGGGTTGAGTTAAATTTCTCAACTTCTAGAATTAAGAGTGTAGGCTTACATCATCAGGTCTTTCGCCTTTTCTTGTGCGGGCCTATCCCCCATATATAACTTATTTCACCTTTCATATAGTCCTCATTTTTAGCCCTAATGATATATGCTTTTGATGACATAGTTGCGCTTTAGCTGTGCTTTAGTTGCACTTTAGTTGCGCTTTTTGCTCATTCACTAGTTTATGAATATTTACCCTTTTATGCTTACGAAATTATTAACATTGCTAAAGATTACCCTTTACATAAACAATTTCATACATATACAACCATATTCATACAAAATAACCAAAATCAACTAGAATACATGTGATCATAAACATAATCAAGAAGAAGTGCAATAATAAAACATTTACTAATTCTTATAATCTTGTTTGAGTATCTCACCTCGTTCTCTAGGGAAGTCGGGTCAATTCGTTCTCCTAAAGTACCCTTTCCTCCTTTCCTCTTATATACAATCTAAATCATAATTGTTGATCATTGAAATCTGCATTCAAATAACATATAATAATTTATATGAAAATCTTATAAGTTTACCTCAAAGAAGTTTTTCTTCATTCACCCCAATGTGACCTCTCTTCTCCTAAGTCTCCTTTCTTCACTTTCCCTTAACCTTTTTTTTTCTTCAATCTAAAGAGTAACCAGTTACATCAACTTAGCCTATATCAGTTTCCACCACTCTTCCGCACAACCAGCAATTAGTTATACTTCTATATGTCAAAAATGCTTGGAATTAAGTGGAATGTATATAAAAATAAGCTAACATTTAGAGGAAGTTGAAGCTTACATTATTTTAAATATTTTTGAGAGTATTACAATTTATTCCTATTGAGTGTTGCAAGAAGTGTTAAACTTATTCTTCACTAATCTTTTTAAACAAAAACTACCTATGGTACTTAATGTGTATTATTTGTCATCCAAATCCTTCAATCTTAATTTTATTTGTTAGTCTAATAAATTTATTTTCTGTTCATTTTATACTTTTAAATCACCTAAATCTACTTTCAACCATTATTTTTTAAATATATTCTATTCCAACCATCCCTTTAATATAATCATTCATATATTTATCTTTCATAATTTTACCACACAGCATCCTAATGTCATTATGCAATGCTTAACTTAGATATCATTTATTTTTTTACTACTAACATGTTGACCTGTGAGCATGCCAAAAGAAACGGACAAAATGAAATTAAAAAATATACACTTGAAATCATTACCTGTAGCCAAATCCACCCCGAATCGCTGCTCTCGTCGCTTCTACAGTCACTCCCATACCTCTGCAATCTGCGCGATGTCAGCAGCCCATTTCCGCTCGTAGAGAACGACTCTTTTACTTGAGTTGTTAAATACGACTGTGGAATGAAGCCGCTCTACACTCACGACCCCAGCTTTGGTTCTTCCTTCCTGCACTCAAGTCTCGGCCTTCTTCCTCTCCGACCAAATCCCGTCGACTGCCCTAGCCGACACCTGCTCCGACCTCCAGACATCCCATCGATCTCCTCTGATCTCCAAAGCCGTCCGATTCTGTTAGCCCCTTTCGACCTCTGTCTGTCCCGATTCTCTTGCTCTAGCCTTCGATCCAGAGAGAGAGAGAGAGAGAGAGAGAGAGAGAGAGAGAGAGATATAGAGAAAGAGAGAGTGTCGATCTTACCTAACCGAACCCGTCGCTCCTCCTCCGACGCCGTCCCTGCTTGCTGGATCGGAAGTTACCATATTTGATCGGAAGCATCAACGGGAGCTCACTGTGAGGGTAACTTTCTCCCCCTCTCACGTGCTCTTCTTCGGCCAAACTTATCAGTTTCTACAGATGACTCTTTTGAACCTTCATTTAATCCACTCTCGCCAGCAGCCGAGCTCATTTTGCTAACAAACCAATCATGCATATGAATACATCAAATTAAAATGATATGAAGTGAAATAAAAAAATCACAACATGAATAAACAATATACCGGTTTGCCGGGGGTCCAAGGGTGCGCTGCCCCCTGGCGGGGTTCGATCTTGTAGTACTGAGCATGTACCTACCAGTACCGAGCAATAACCTACCAGTACCGAGCATGTACCTACCAATACCGAGCATGTACCTAGCAGTACCGAGCATGTACCTACCAGTACCGAGCAGTAACCTACCAGTACCGAGCATGTACTGAGAAGTACCGAGCATTTACTGAGCGGTACCGAGCATGTACCAAGCGATTCCGAGCGGTACCGAGCATGTACATCAGTTTTTTCAACAATGAAGAGAAGAAATGATGAAATCCACTTACAGTTCTTGGCTCTCTTGCACGCAGAAGGTGCTCTTTTTGGCATTGATTGCAAACTTTGCCTCGAATGACAGTAGAAATAACGCTAGAACGAAGGAATGGGAAAGACGAGCTCTGCTTGGCCGAGCAAAAATGACGAAGGAACGGGAGGCGAAGGCAACGGGCTCCGTTTGGCGTCGACTGTGAGCTCTCCCAGTCCGCCCTAGAAGATTTCTTTCGTGGATCAGAAAAATAGGGCTTCTCGTTCGCGGAAAGGCTAAATAGAATGGACGATTTTATCATTTAATAACCGGACACGCGTGTCCGATTTAAATTTTAATGTTTTAAATTCCGACACTCCAATGCTGTGTCGGACACGTGTCCATGCCGTGTCCAACGCGTGTCCGTGTCCGACACGTGTCTGACACTGCATACCCTCTTTAAGATGCGTGTCGGTGCATCATACGCCAACTATAAAGTCCATTGCAATATCCTTGTATTTCCATTTTAGAATATGAAGAGGTTTCAATTGACCACCAGGCCTTTGATGTTCTACTTTGACCATCTGTCATGTCAAACACTTGGCTACAAACTCAGCTACGTCATTCTTTATACCAACCACTAGAATAGCTTCCTGAGATCTTGATACATTTTCATTCTCTCAGGGTGAACTGAATACAGAGTGGTGTGCTCCTCCCGAAGTATCTCTTGCTTCAGTTTGACGTTGTTTGGAACACATAACCTATCTTTAAATTTTAAAAGGCCCATATGATCAATTGTGAAATCTTGCTTCAATCCATTATGAACTTGATATTTAATCTGCATCAGCTCATGTCTTCCATCTGAGCTTCATGAATCCGATCCACAATCGTCGGTTGAATGCACATGCAATAAATAATAGAGTTGCTTCCCATTGGTACTATCTCAAGCTGAAATTGCTTCATTTCATGCATTAATTGTAGCTCCTGAGTGATCATTCATGCTGCATAAGATGAAGACTTCCTGCTTAAAACATCTGCCACCACATTAGCTTTACCCGAATGATATTGAATATTCAAATCATAATCCTTTATCAACTCAAGCCATCACCTTTGTCTTAAGTTCAACTCCTTCTGTGTAAAGATGTATTTCAAGCTCTTATAATTAGGGGAAACCTCACAATGAATGTCATAAAGGTAATGCCTCCAGATCTTTAGCGCAAAAATGACCGCAGCTAACTCCAAGTTCTGTGTAGGGTAATGCTTCTCATGCACCTTAAGCTGCCTGGACGCATAAGCTTCCACTTTACCATGTTGCATTAAGACATAACTTAAGCCTTGGTGAAGCGACATTGTAGATATGAAATCTATCAGTACCAGAAGGAATGGTGAGGATGGAAGAAAACACCAAATAACTCTTGAGGAAAACTCTGTTTACATGCATTAGATCATATGAACTTGACGGACTTCTGGGTCTTCCTAGTCAGTGGAGTTGCAATACTCGAGAAGCCTTCCATGAAGCATCTATAATAACCAGTTAGGCCAAGAAAACTGCGAATCTTGGTGACGGTGCTTGGCCTTGGCCAATATATTACAACTTTAACCTTGGCAGGATCCACTGAAATTAGGGGTGTCAATATTGGATATGACCTAAAAATTTCGGGTTTGGGTTGACCCGAACCCAAAACCTCTGTTTAAAATTGCGCAATAAGAGGCGCGCCTTGAGGCGCGCCTCTGCGCAATTCTGTCTAAAAGCGCCTCAAGGCGCACGCAATTTCGACACTGATTGAGGCGTACGCCTCACCCTGTGTGAGGCGCGCCTCAATTGCGCAATTATGGGTGAGGCGTACGCCTCATCCAAATGGTTTTCCTTATACCCACTTACCCTTCCAAAGACCCACTTGCTCGGTACCGCTAGGTATATGCTCGGTTCAACTAGGTATTTGCTCAGTACAGGTAGGTATTTGCTCGGTACAGCTAGGTATTTGCTCAGTACAGCTAGGTATTTGCTCGGTACAGCTAGGTATATGCTCGGTCGAACCCCGCTAGGGGGCAGCGCCCCCTTGGACCCCCGGCAGTCCAGCATATTATTCTATTCATCATCTTTAGTAATAGTTGTTAGTGTTAGTCTACTTCTTCATATTCATGCTTATTTTTTATGTTAGTCTACTTTTGTATATATTATGCACAACAAGAGGTTGAGAGAGAGGAGGTCGAGGAATAAGGGGTTGAAGGATGATGAGGACCCATTAGTGTGTGATGATGTGTCGTCTGATAATGAGTGATTCATAGATGATGAGACAGATTTGCCATTATCAGACTTACAGTTAGAAGATCTAAGTGTGGATGTCTTGAGGGGAGAAGCAGATCAAGTTGACACATCCACTAGTACTGTAGTTGGCACATCCACTAGCTCAGCAGCACAACAATCAAGTAAAGGTATTCCACACAACTTCTTATATGCTATTACATTATATTTATGTCAAGTGAGCAATGAACATGAATACATGATAATGATCTTTTATCTTAATGAACAGGGAAGAGAAAAGTGAGTCATGTTGAAGATGAAGATGACATGGCATTCATAGATACAATTGGAGAAGAAGATTCACTTGAAGACCCATTTAGTGATGGGATATGATTTCATTTTATATGTTTTTTGTATTTTGGGAGTTTTGTTAAACTAATATTTTGTGATTTTGTACTTTGGGACATAATTTTATTGCATCTACTTTCTTATTTTCCACTATTGCTATTATTTTCCTGCTAAAACCCTTAATTTTTCATTTACGCAATTCTGTGTTCGTGAGGCTTACACCTCAGACCGCCTCGAGGCTTACGCCTCGCCTCACGGACGAAAACCGCATCGAGGCGCAGTTACGCAATTTTAAACCTTGCCCGAAACGGGTCGGGTTTGTGTTCAGTAATTCGACCCGTTTCAAAAATCGGGTCGGGTTCAGGTTCGGGTTGACCCGTTGACCCGAAATTGACCTATTTTTTAACCTAAAAACCCATTTTTGACCTGTCAACCCGAGGTTGACCCATTTTGACCCAATAAGCAGAGATTGACCCGTTTTTGGACCCGAAAACTAGCAGTTTTTTGTTGACACCGGATCATTCGGGTTGACCTGGACTCGAATCGGGTCGGGTTCAAGTCCGGAAAACCGACCCGTTTGCAAAAATGGGTCGGGTTCGGGTTGACCCGAATAGTGCCGAGTCAATTTTGGGTTCAATCCGAACCCGACCCATGACCTGAAATTGACACCCCTAACTGAAATTATAGTTTCACTAACAAAGTGACCAAGAAATGCTACCTCTTGAAGCCAAAACTCTTCGAGAATTTGCATAAAGCTTATTCTCCTTAAGAATAATTAATGTAGCTCGGAGGTTTTGGGAATGCTCCTCATCACTCTTGGAGTAGATCAAAATATCATCAATGATTACTATCACAAATTGATATAAGCACAACATGAAAACTCTATTTATGAGATCCGTAAAAGCAACAAGGGCATCAGTCAACCCGAAAGGCATGACTAAAAATTCGGAGCCCACATCACGAATTCACGATGCTCATAAAGATTGGAAATAAATCTCACAACCTAATTAAATTATAAAAGAACATAATACAAATATCGCGGATTACATCCCTAACAAAGAATGATACGTTTACACAAAAAATAAATGACAATTACTTACAATGGTCGCCGCAAACTCCAACCTTGAAAGGGCTCGATTGACTACACAAAGCGACAATCCTACAAGAAGCAAAACCAAAAATAATATTAAGCATGTTCATCGAGGCATAATGAAGAATATCCCAATCAATCTTAAACGCACACTACTCCAACTAAACATCCAAACGACAACTATAATAAAAAAATGATAATAATAATCACTTACTCGACTTTGATCAATGGAGAAAGATGGAGGAGAAAGATTCAAACTTGATTCAAGAGAAAGAGAAAAATAAGAAGGAAACCCTTAACGACAACGTTGATTTAGGAAAACAGATCGAAGAAGATAGAAAAGAGGGAAGGGTGACTTTGATGGCTGTTGTGGAGAGAGAAACGAAGAAGGAAGTGTGGGGCTGCTGTTGTGAAGGAGATAAGAGGAGTAAGAATGATGACCTAAGTTGCGTATTGGGTTTAATTGGAGAGAGGGAGATTGACAGGGGTGGGAGGATTTCTAAACGGTGGAGAAATCACATCATTAACACGATTGAAGAAAGAGAACCTTGACTGGGAGCCGCTCTGGTCGCTCGTGTGCGAGGGGGCGAGCCAGCACGTGAAGGGGCGTAGGGAGTTTGACCAACCACTCGCTCAGGCTCGCCTGGACCTGGCCGGTTCGATTCAGGTATAACAGGTTATGGATGGGATTTAAAAAATTTTGAATTGCAATTACATTTAATTCAAATTTAAATTAAATTTATCCTATGCAACCTTATCTACTAGTTTAGGATGAGTAATTATTGTTCAGGCATATAATTATCAACTTTCTTGTATAAAATTCTTTTTTAAATTTCAATCTTACAGATATCAGTTGAATATGTGATTCTTTTGTGTGCAATATAAGTGTAGCTAATTTATTCTTAGGAAAATCATCTCTTTGTACATGCTTAAGGTCTAATTGTTGTTACTTTGCTATTTCTATTTATTTTTTATTTTATTTACATAATTTGATATTGAATTGTTTAATTCTCTTTATTTTGTTTAAAAAATAACATGCCGGAAATCAATTTGTGGGAATTAAATTCAATTGATCATTGATTTGTGTTTCTAATTCTTCATTGAATTTGTTAAAGGATTGTCCGTAGTGATTGAAGGAGAAAGTTCTTTCTTCAAGGTCATGGGTTTGAGTCTTATATTTTGCAATTTATCAGTCACCTTCTCACCTAACAAAAAAAAAAAAAAATCTTGACCAAATTTTTCATATTATTTCAGTTGGGATATAATTATAGTATTGCATCTTTACATTCAAAGAACATAAGTGTGTGAATTTTTTGGTAGTCTATGATATGTGAATCCTCAATTTCTTTTACATGTATTCATACTAAGCTTTATATTAGAAGTCCTAACCTTAATTTTCTACATCACCCATTTCTCCAATTGATCAAGCTTACAACTGTGTCACAACTTTAGCCCATAATGTCATGAGATGTGTGAAGCGAGACAATTTATTTTTCACACACACAATAACTAGCTTTAGTCATTTTCCATAGCAACATGATGTTTTGCTTCTAAAGTGATAGGGTTGGGAGTGATAGTTACTATGTAGGGCATGTCTTTCGAAATAAGGAGCTACAAATTATTTTTAATAATTTCACAAAATTTAAATGAATAAAATATATTGTTAGAAAAAAATTATCTTTACAATCCCATACGTTATCAATCTCCACGGTGTTGTTGATTCCGTGATGACTTTTTCTCACTAAACAACCCTCTTTATGGTAGAAGGGTACAACGCATTCCAAATCTCAACTATTTTAATCTCCAAAGCATCCTTATCTTTGCTATTTGTGGCATTCTTTTTAACTGACCTAATGTAGCATAGGAAATTTATTCTAGAAGATTCTAATATTTTGAATTATTTTAGGATTTATCACAATATTATTCAATTTAATCTTTATTATTTTAAATTAGATGACAGGATTTTAGGAACTATTTAGATTTTAATTCAAGTTAATTTGGTTTTATCTTAACGATTTCTTTATAATAATTACTTTTTGAATTATTGATTGAATGAATGAAAAATTGAAAGTTGGCTTTGCTTATTCTCTTACCCTGACTTATCTCTATTAACCGATAGGATCCTCTCTTCCTCCCATTATTCGATCTCACAAAATTTTGTCGCCAACATTCCTATAACACCCAACATTCCTATAACATTCCTATAATGGAGCTCAAATCCCTTATTTCGCTTCTCAAGGTCCTCCATTCTTCATTTCACTCATATCCGAGGCATTCAAAAGATCAAGGAAGATGATCGTGAAGAAATACATCATCAAAGGTCTATCTTCAAATTGGCAGCTATTCAAATGTTCACCTAATTAATTTGTCATTTGTTCCTAGTGAGAGCTTCTTAGGTGTCTACTCTAATTTTGTTACTTTGAAATTGGTTAACTTGTAGAATGCCATTTTTCTTCTAAGATTTTAACATCAGTTGTAGTTACTGGGTTTATAGATTTTAGAAGGAAATTTTTTCGATCAAAATTTCCTAGCTATTCAACTGATTGTTCCATTATCTGATTTGCATTTTTTTATCCTGGGGAGAAATTATTTATGGTTAGTTGTGACGCTAAGTCATGGTTTACACTTTTGAATGCCAGGACAACATGTGGAGTCTTCACAGTTAATTGCCATGCCTAACTAGAAGAAGTGATAATGTCCCTTCAGTTTGACTGCATACCGCCTTTTCTGGATTTTACTCTTTTTTTTTCAATTTATGAAAGGTAATAAATGAAAATTTTAGCCTAATTCATAGCTGTTTTTTTTTTAATGCAGGCTTGCAGGTGCCGCACTTGTTTCTCCAGGTTCTAACTACTGGTGGCCTAGTTTCCCAAAAAACTTATCTATTGATGCTTACAGAAGCCGACTTGCACAAGACCAGTGGGCAATTCGTGTTGCTCATTATGCACCCTCGTTAACTTATTGGTGGAACACGCAGAAATGGTTTCCTCCATTGAGCGTGATAGCTGGTAGCACCAACATCTTGTCAGACAAAGACAAAGAGCTTTTACCCAAGATATTGGCTAGAAAGCAGTACCAGGTATGTCAATTGAACTTTTGATTGTGCTTTTCTGGTGAAGCTGGAAGATTGACTGTTAAATATGTGCACATGCATGAAGGATGAATCTATAAAGAAATAGTAATAATTGTGGTTTTAAATATTCTTTCTTTGGTGATCACATAAATGAGTGGAAGCGCCGTTTGACTGGGTGACTTTCTCTGTGTGTTTTTCTAGTAAGTTGCTTGCTGGTGGAAAAAAGTGATGCATGATCAACAATATCATAAGTTAAATGTGGTCTCATAAAGAGTATTAGTGGGTGATGAGGATAGAACATGATCGCTGATGCAAACGAGATTGAACTCGATTAATAGCAGGGGGATGCCTCATGTTGTGGAAGGATGGCGTTAGAGTTGTGATCAATAACATACGATCTTTGTTTGAAGGTAGAAGTGTACGTTGAGGCAAGTGGAGGAAGTGATTAAGCAAGCAAGTGATGGAGACAGAATTGCTCAACTACTCATGCCTGTGGGTATCATGTGGAATGCAAAGCATGAATGAATGAAAATTCATGATCATGTCAAACCGTGATTAAAATGAGGAGAATCGTAGAGTATCTGTTAAGCTTCTGGAAGGATCAAGAAGATTGGGCATCTTTAGAGTAGATGCGATCGCTCAAAGAAAGAGAAGAGAGATGAGAAGAAAGGGGGAAACCAAAAAATTTATTCCATAATCCTTTTGTTTACAAGTAGAGATGTATTTATAATGTTTAGGTAGACCAATAAGTTACTATAGATCCGGTTAACCTAAAAAAAATAAAGAAAATACTATACTAGTGCTTTATTATACATGTGGACCCATATTATTTATGTTGCCAAAACAATGTTGTGATCATGTGGCATATGTTTATTCCTTATTCTTTGGTAGAGTTTCATAATTGTTGGTTGTTCTGTCTTGTTTGTAGCCCATTCTATGTATTTGGATTGTACAATTTTCGGATCTAAAATAATATGCCGATGTTTAACACCCCCATTTGGAAGATAATCTTATCCTCAAGGTTGAGAGAAAGAAAAGATGAAGAGAGTGCTGAAAATTTTTCTCATTTGGCATGATTGGGTAAATTAAATTTCCATTGTAACAGGATTTTTCGGTGGGATTGACTACGGAGTTGTATGCGTGAAGCTAGAATAGCATATGGTAGAAGGGGTTCGTTGTTATAACTGAAATTTGGTAGTGGTGAAGGGGTTAATGAAGGGGAACCTTTAAAAGGTTTAGAAGAGAGATAAAAAATTGGAAGAAATTTACTATCGGGAGGTAATTGTAGGCTATAGGCTGATGGGCTAAGCACGTCTTGAATTGTGAAAGGGCCAAAATATCTCTTAGCAAGTTTAGAATGGGTACGGTTAATAGCATAATTTTGTCAAAGAGGTTGTAATTTAATTATAACTAGATCACCTACTAAAAAGTGCAAATACCTGCGGTTACGATTGGCCATGTTTTTCATTCAATTTTGTGCTTGTAGTAAGTTTTGTCGTAGAGTTTGGAGAGTGTATCCTGATATGTTAAATGAGTATCAATTGCGGGAAGGTTGGAGGTTCCACGAATATAGAAAGGAATGGAAGGGGGAAGTCGGTCATAAAGAGCTTGAAATAGAAGACATTTTAATGGTTGTATAATAGGATGTATTATAGCACAATTCTGCCCAACAAAGAAAATATGATCATAACTTAGGTGTAGAGGATGTATAAGCACGAAGATATTATTCTAAACAATGATTGAGAACCTCTATTTGGCCAATGTTTGTGGGTGATAAGAAAAGCTAAAATGTAATGTGGTAGCACTTCGACTATCTCAATCGGATACTATGATTTTGGGAAAATCATGTAAGTGAACAATCATGTGTGCAAAAAGATTAGCAACTTTAGAAGCAAAATATTTGGATGTTAAGGGATCAAAATGAGCAAACTTGGATAAGCGATCAATGACTATCAAAATAACAATATAACCTTTAGAATTAGGTAGACCATTGATGAAGCCCATAGGTATTGGCAGAGGAGATAAAAATCCTGCCAAAGGAAGAGTAGAATATTTGATTTCTTGACAAATAAGACATTTGCTAAATAAGTCAGCAACATCTTGAAGAAGACTTGGCCAATAAAAATTAGCTCAAATTCATTTGATTGTCTTAAGAATGCCTTGATGAACCGCAAGAGGTGAGAAATGAATTTCTGTGAGGATTTGGTGTTTAAGGGCCGAATCTTTAGAAAGGTAAATACGATCTTTATAATAAAGAATATGGTCATAAAATTGATAAAGTGTATTAGAGAGCTAGTCGTTAGAAAGCTGAGAGGCAATATGAAGAATATCTGGAGAGTGAAGTGATTCTTTTTTATGTCTTTAATAAGAGAAAGAGAATTTTTTGTTAAGGCTAGTAAGGAAGGAGAATTCGAAGGGTCCTATGGTTGTCTAGATAAAGAGTTGGCGATGATATTTGTTTTTCCTGGCTTATATTCGATAGAAAAATTGAATCCTAAAATCTTACGAAGATAATATCGTTGATCTGGTGTTTGGATTACATTAGTTTCAAGTTCATGTAAGCTTTGATGATTGGTACGAATAACATTGCTTAACAAATAATGTCGCCATTTGGAAATAGCTTCAGTAATAACATATAATTCTCTTAGATAAGTTAATGATGTTGAGATTTTTGTGCTTAATTTTTTGCTAAAAAAGAAAATAGGATGATTATTTTGTAAAAGAACTGCACCAATGCATATGTTGGAAGCATCTATTTCAAGAATGGAAGTTTTAGTGAAATCAAGGCTAAGATCGGTGCAATTGTCATAGCTAATTTAAGATTTTAAAAAGCAGTAGAGGTTGTGTCATTCCATTTGAAGGAATCCTTCTTTAGAATATTGGTTAATGGAGCTGCTAGAAGTATAATGAGATGTAAATTGATAGCTAAAAGTATAATGAGATATAAATCAATGGTAATAGCCTACGAAACCTAAAAACGATCACATGTGGTGTAAAGAGGAGGGAACTGGCTAATTTGTTATAGAGATAATTTAAGTAGAGTCATGTTGGACGCATCCCACAGAGACAAAAGCCTTGAATGATTGAAGATTGACAAAATTGATATTTATTACGTTTTAGAAAAGTTGTTTGTAAGCATTGAAGAACTAGAGTAAGGTGATCAACATGGAGTTTGAGAATGGGGCTATATATCAAGATGTCTTCAAAGAAGATTATAACAAATTTACGAAGAAATGAGTAGAAGATTAGATTCATTAATGATTGAAATGTCGATGGAGCATTTGTTAGACAAAAGGCATAACAAAAAATTTGTAATGCCCCTCATGAGTTTGAAGCACAGTTTTATGAATATTGTGATGGTGCATTCTCACTTGGTGATAGCCTGAATGTAGATCAAGTTTAGAAAAGAAAGTAGCTCCATGCAGTTCATTTAGAAGTTCATCTATGATAGGTATAGGGAATTTATCTTTAATAATAAGGGCATTAAAGGCTCTGTAATCAACGTAAAATGCCTAGTGCCATAGCATTTTTTTACAAGTAAAACTGGACTAGAAAAAGGGCTATGGCTATGATGAATAATGCCAGCATGAAGCATTTTAGAGACTAATGTTCCATTGCATCTTTTTGGAAATTTGGATAACTATAAAACCGGATGTTAATAGGTTTAGATAAGGAGGCGACTACGATGATCAATGGTGTGAGGTGGTGGTAGGCCTTGTGGAAGTTGAAATAAATGTTGAAATTATTTGACAAGATTAGAGATGGAAATGGGTTAAAAGAGTTGTGAGTTTATCTATGTAGTCTGTCAATTGGTTGGTATGGGAGAAATAAACTAGTTATACGAGGTGTGATTGAAAAGTGAAGAGTTGAACGGTGGGTGAATGGGAAATGATTGCACGAAGCTGGTTAAAGGAAGTAGGATCATGTTGTAATTGGGGTTCGCCTGTTACTGTAATCTATATATTTTGATTATGGAAGCGCATTGTAAGGTTTTGATAATCATGTAAAACATGGCTTGAAGATTGTAGCCATTGCCTGCCAAGAACGATATCAGCACCATGAATGAATAGAATGAAGAGATCTAGACAGACTCAATAGCCTTGAATGATAATGTTTACTTGCGGACATTTAGAATTACAAGATAGTAAGTTATCACTGCCCACAAAAATGTTAAATTGTTTAATAGGTTGAGGACGAAGAGATAATTTGGTGATGCGGTGTTCTTGAATGAAATTATGATTACTACCAATATCAATTAATATTTACATATTATATTGTTAATTGTGCCTGTTAATCGAAAAGAACAAGGGTTGAACTATCTAGCTAAAGCATTAAGATTGATTTCGGGTTAAGGATTTGATTTTTCATCATTGATAGAAGAGAGAAAATAGTTATCCACCAAGTTCGAGTCATTGGTGCCGAGTAAAAGATAGAATTTATTTGGGCAACAATGTTGGGGGCCAAATTTTGCGTCACTGTTAAAACATAAAACTTTTTCATGGAAAAATTCAATTTTCATTAGTGAAAGTTTTTGGATTGGAAGATTTGGTGGTTTAGAGATGGTCGAGATAGAAGAGGGAAGAGAGAGGGGGGGGGAGGAGAAATGGGAGATGATGTCGTGGTTGAATTGAAGCTAGAATGTAAATAATTAGGTGTGGTATTTTTGAAAGGATGAGGGTATGATTTTCGAGAAGAGGAGGAAGGAATAGAAATATAGTTTGAATTTTTGCTTCATAATGATGTGCTAATTCCATAGTATCCAAGGGGAAGTAGGTCAGGCAAGAAGTTCACGATTTTTTTTTTTGTTTTAAGTCCTAATATGAAATAACTAATGAGTGTAGGTTCAGACAAAATTAGGGATTTTAAAAGCAAGGTTTTCAAATGTTGTTTGGTATTCTAGAATAGAACTTTGATGAGTTAATTTAGAAAGATTCCCCTGTAAATCTTCGTACATAGATATACCAAATCGCTATTGTAAGAAAAGGATAAAGTCAAGCCATGAGAAT